ATCACTCAAAACCCAAGCCAGTGGAATACTCTCCCAGCTCCCCATGGGATATTTTTGCAAGCACAAAGGGATTTTTAATAGATGCTGGCGCTAGCTCTGTAGGAGGCATCACTTCTGGTGTTACAGCACATATACATACTCCCGTCAGCCAAGAAAGATTTAATTCTATCCTGGCAAGCTCTAGAGCACACATTCCCCACCTGCCACCCAGAAATTCCAGCGACAGCCTGCAGCCCTCGACCGGACAGCAGAGGTTACTGCTCGTACCTGCAACCTGATGCTGCTGGCGACAGCGAGGCTGTAGGCGTACAGGTAATGGCGCTGGACGTGGTGAACCAGCATCTCGTACACCCGCATGGCGTGGCTGGAGGGTAAGCTGTAGAGTTTCGTCTGCAGAGGAACAGAACAGCAAATCAAAAGGCAGACTGACACGGGTTATTCAGAGACGTGGATCTGCACCGAGAATTCCAGAAAAACACAGGAAAAACGTGTTCCCAAAAGGAAGGTGAACAGATGGCTCCGGACAGAACCTCTGCAAGGACTCCAGAGCAACTCCGCCTGGCTCCAGAAGGGCGCTGGCTGGAACCACCAGCTCTTCACAACTGCTTAACCATATCTCAGGACACACTGCCCAAACACAACGGACCGATTCAAGGTTATGAACCACTCCCTTTCTGCTAGTTTGTGAACACATCTGACCTCCACACATGGAAACGTGCTCGTATTCACTGTACAACGGAAATTAAGAAAATCAAACACTTAGCAAACAGTCACACAAAAGCAAAAGGAATGACCAAAGCAAGAGTTAAAATGTTCATTGGATAAAACAAAAGTCAGAATATTTAATAGTGGGAGAACGGTTGTCTAAAAAGCAAAGGCCAGCAGAAGACTGTTCTGAAGAAAACATGTTTAATGCTCTGCAGCGTTTACCTGAAGAATTATCAGGAGCCCAAGAACTGCTGTCTTGACATCCTCCAATGAAGCTGAATACGACAGCAAATCCCTCTCTTCCAGTTCAGACGGAGACGAGAGAGAATGTGCAGCCACCTTTCAAAAAAGGAAAGCAAAACGTGGTTTAAATCTGCCACGGACCTTTCCTTTATTTCCATCCTGGAAGGTCAGCAAAGACTACAGCAAGTCATCCTTGCTGGATATTCTGGAAGCCCTGGCAGGTAGCTGGGATGTGCACCGACAGGGTTTCTAAAGCTCCCTTCCGCTCCGCACTTTAGACTCACATCCTCCAAAACCCAGTAGCTTTAGAACACCCAGTTGTGCACCACACAACTGGTACCAGTCACGGGTTAGTCTCCTCAGTCACAGTAACAGGATCCGCCAAAAGATGTGGTGAGGCTGCTGACAACCGACCAAACTCTGCCTCACCTTTTCTATGATGTCAAGCAAGCTGTTGAAGTGGTGGGTGTTGCAGCCTTCAGCCAGGTCTACCAGTAGCTGTGTGGCCAGTTTTCGGACTTGATGGTCTTTATCCTCTGGAATGTGAGCCAGCTGAGAGATCACAACCAGGTTTATCAGCTCTTCCTGCAAGAGGACAGACCTTAATAAGCCTTGACATTTTGCTGTCGGTTGTTCAATCAGCACGTTAAAGAGACAAATGACCACAAACAAAAGAACGCTGATATTCTGCTATCAGGCTTCTTCCTCAACTGACTGCTGGGTTCCTTGATCTTTCCTCTTCCAACCAATTCAGTATTTCTGTATGCCAACCCTCCAAATATTTATGACTTTTGTCGAACTTGGATTCAATACTTTGGGTTTTGTCTGTCCTACAGACTCGCTAGTCCAGGCTCAGATAGACTGTTGACAAGGGATTTCTAGGGCTTGGGTTTTTTAAGGGAGAGAGGAAATGTGCAACAGCACCACGTTTTCACAAATCTCGAGGGAATCCAAGCAGCACCTCTGCCCCTTCCTGTCCTCTGACACTCTGGTTACGTTCCAAGGAGATGGAGAGATCCCCAGAGCTCCTCTCTCGGACAGCTTCCATCTTGGATTGCAATTAAACTGCAAGCACCAAGACAAGTCAATCTGCTCACGCCAGATTATGTCCAGACCTCATCTTTTTAGCAAGCTTTTAACTAAACTCTGCAGCTCTCACCACGACTTTCCTCTCTTCCGAAACAAAATGTATATGGCATTAACGACCTTAAAACAGGGAAGCAAATGCACACCCAGGCATGTCCTCAAAACACAGCAGCTCCCACTGCAAGTTGCACCCAACCCAGCACCATTAAAAGGCCAGTCCTCCCCCCAGCACCCTAAAGAAACACGTCTATCATAGTGTCCAACATCTAAACCACGGTTCTGCGCGTTCCCCAGTGCCAGAGACCACCTGAAGCACACCGTAAAGCGTGCCTCACCAAAGCCCTTCCCACCCACTTATCATCTCACATGTGATCGTCAGAAACAGATAAACACACACCTCGTAGAACTGTCTGTTAATACTCAGGACAAAGGACAAGACATCCAGAACTTTAATACGAATGGCACTACGGCTTTCGTTCCTAAAATGGGAAAAGCAAATTCAAGATGAATAAAATGAAGTTGCCGATATTTAGGGAAGGGGGGAGAGGGGAAAAGGGAAGTAAAACTAAAGTAAACTAAAACTTCTTAAGAGTTAGAACAATAACTGTTAAGAGATCAGCTGAGCCTCCACTTAATGTCTCTACATACGAAAGCGGATTCAAGAACAATTGGAAACTGGAATCCCAATTCAGCTTCTACTGGTTCTGCAGACCTGTAACTGCAGTTTTCCCATTTCCAGTCCGAACTAGGAAGCACACGTCAGAAGAACAAGTGCTCTGTGAGCAAATTTAAAAGCAAACATACGGCACCAAGGAAGAGTTGCTCTTTGGCAGCATTTCACAGATGAGACAGAAGCTTGTTATTGCTACATGTTGATATTTTAGAACACAAGAATACTTTTAGGAGTACAATTAAAACCAGATAACTTTAACGCTGGATAACCATATGCAACCCTGATGCTTAACAGGAAAGTCTTGCTCGGTGTCAGAACTACAAAGTGCTGTGGAGTGGAACGTGTAACTGCCTCAGCTAATTGGAACAGCACCATCCAATGGAAATAATGAAAAAAAAAAAAGAAGCATCAATAATTCAGTGCGAAGTTTTTCTTCTGTTAAACGAAACCCTTTCATGTACTGTGCCCTGGAACTACCGTACTTCTTAGCAGTCATTTACTAACATCAGAACCTCAGGAAACAAAATTATCTAACATGAAAAAGTGGCGAGAAACATTCGAAAGTGCCTTGTTATTTCACAAAGTTCTGATTCCATACCTGAAGAATCTCTCCATTAACATCTGCAGGTTGTGAATCCAGCCATCTTTGGCAGGATGAATGGACTGAGCTCTGTATGTTATCAAGTTTAATACAGAAGATTCCTTTCATGGAAAGATCAAGAAATTTTTTTTAGTGTATAAGCAAACACAATATATCCATTCCCCCACCCCCCATCCCGAGAATAAGGCTCAGGTAAGTCCTTGCTGTGATTTTCTGACCACTCACTATTTTAGGACTCCCAGCCTTCAGCTGTACTGAGTAACAAAAGAGATTCACCGGGCGACAAAGGAAAACAATAATAAGTGAAGTCTTACTGGTCTCTGATCAGCACATCTTTCCACCAGCTCAAAAAATCTCTCTTCAGAGCCATGGAATTCATTCTGGTCACAAAGTTCTTCGACTGTAGTCAAAAGATCATGTACAATGGACTTAAGTTCTTGGCTCTCCAGACTCTGAAACAGAAACAAAAACATTCCTGAAAGACTTCTACCTTACGAGAAAGCGCTAACTTTTACATACAAACAGAAAACTCCGTGGAGAAGCACAATATTGAGAACTGGGCCAAAGCTCCCTGCGGCTTCCAAGTCCGCTGGAGTGTACAAACAGGAGATCAATTTGTAAAAACATCTATGGCAAGGTCTTCCGATTGAAAGCACATCAAGACAGGCTCAACACCTACCTGCAGCTGCTGCAGTAATCGCTCCATGATGTCCAAAAGGATATCCCACGTTACAGCTTGCAGCTCCTTCCCGTACTTCTTGATGAGACGTGTTATGGACAGGACGATCTCGTAAGACACAACTGCATTGGGACATGTCATGGCCTGGAATACAAAGCGTTTCAGCCGGTTAACAGCTGGAAAGCAGTGATCAGAAACGTTCTTAAATTCAAATGAAACACGCCTTACTACTTAGGAACTTAGCCTGAAGGTCTGAGATAAATATATTCGAGTCTGTACACACAAAGGGCAAAGCAAAGAACCATTTTATAAGGCACAGCTGGGCACTCCTGCCAACAGCTGTAGAGCAGATGTCAAACCCCGTCCCATCTCGCAGAGGGGGCTGTAAGAGGTTAAAGCTGGTAATTCCCGCTCGATGCACGTGGGTGAGAAAGCTTTAAGGGAGCTCCGAGGCTGGGCCTCAAGGCGCCGTCCCTCACTTTTTGTACCACACACTGGAAAGAGGGAAAGCGTTTGCTTTGTGTTTACTTTTTCAACTAAAGTACCCACAATGTAGATACTTTTTACAAAAAGAACTCAGACTTTGCTTTTCTGGCCAACAAAGATATTCCAGAAGGAGGCCCCAGTTTCAAACTCCAATCCTCTGTTGTTTTACAGTTTCCCCGTGCTTCACCCCATACCCAATCGCTGCCTCATCTTTCAGGCACACAAAGATCTCCTTCGTGGAGGGGACCACACTTTCGTCCCAAATTTGTGCAGGTCCAGACATAGACCCGATTAAAAAGTTCCTCCAGCAGCCCACCCTACCTTGAGGAACGACGGCAGCACTGAGGTCGGGGAATTCTTGAGTGAATTGAGGCGATGAGCACCCCACAGAGCCATCCCAACGAAGAACACGGCTCCTCTCAGCAGCGCTGCGTCCGCCATGTAAGCTCTGAGGACAGATGAAAGCCCCAGACCGCGCTACAATTACTTCAGCGTACGAGAGTCAGTAAGAACACACACTGTCACACCAGCCCCAGCTGTCCTACGGCAGAGCCTCGCACCGCAATTTACAAACGTTAAGACCAGAAAACCATTCAGTACAGCTCGAACAAAAGAAAATTCAATGCAGAAAAACGAGCACTTCAGCAGCACAACGAGGAAGGCAAATCATTTCTAAGCACCAGAACCTTCAGCTCGTTCTACTGACGTCAGTGACTCCCCATCTGCCTCAATAGGGCATCTGCTGAATTCCTTGGGCTTTGTTAGATCAAAAACCTTCCTTACCTGTCTTCCATGATCCTGCACATGTTGTAGATGGCACTGTGTCCCAAGTGAGTTCCCAAAAGGTTGCGCATTAGCTGCAAATTCAAAGAGAACGCTTCAATATCCCATTGTTAAAGCACTCCTTAGCCTGAATATGCAGGTAGCTGGCTGATCATGCCCACTTAGGGTAAATACATGTGTCCAGCCATTCCCATGCCCCAACAGAAGCCTGTCATATCGGCTGAAAGGAAACTACAGCTAAATTCCACGGACGTGACAGGACTTACACTAACAACGTGCTGATCCTTTAATACTTGAAACAATTTTTAATTTACTTTTAAAAACAAACTGAAATTTCTGGCAGGTGGGCACAGGCACATCGGACACTTCATCTGTGAGGCCAAACCAGGGAACTCACTAAAAAACAAAACCACAAGAAAGTTCTGACCTTCCAGCACGGCTCGCAGAGCTCCTTCACGTTGATGGTACGGCACAACGTGATGATAAACACCGGCAGGTTCTCTGACGGCAGACAGTTATAGCAAACAACTGCATCTAGGACTTGCAGGGAAATCTTTGGGAAAGAGAAAGACAAAACGGTTATACGCTTCCCTACAAATAATCTAACCTGGCAGACCAGGAAATCTGGAAGTCAAAGGCATACGGATACGTCTGTCTGGGGTTTTTTAAATCATTGCAAGATGGAAAGTAAACCATAAAAAGGACTGCTGAAAAATCGATTCATTTCTCAAATTTATCAATGCTCCTTGTTTTAGAATAAAATTATTCAGGTGCACGAGACCCAATGGCTTACAAATACTTCATACCTTCGTTTATTCCCACCTTACAAGACAGCTAATACAGAGAGGAGAGCCTGACGATCTGATTTTGTTGGTAAAAGTTAGTTACAAAAAATTCCAAAGAGTTCTAAAGTGCTAAGAGAGACTCAAATCACTGACCTCTATGTCCACAGATGACGAAGTCTGAATGCACAAGAGGCATATTTTGCTGTTAGGAAAGAACATCTAATTATAATTGTTTGCTTAATATGATTTTAGGCAAATTACAAAGAACCAAAACAGACAAGTAAATTGCCATGCCATTTTACTCATCATTCCCTTTACTGTGGCATTGTTGACAACGCTCCTAGGGACACTGAATACTAAGTTTATAAATAAAATTAATAAAATAAACAAAAAGTTAAAGTTGCACTTAAATGCAACTCAGTGTGCCTCCACTAGTACAACAGCAGAGCCCCTTCGTGAGACTCAGCAACGCAATCGGGCCCGCCACATGAAATGGGCAAAGCATAAACCAGACCTGAACACTGTAAGAACTGAAAATCAAATGTTTGTCAGAAATGTAAGGTACAATCTGGAATGAAACAGACCCAGACCGGATGAAAAAGATTCCACTTATCTGCATATTGATCCGCAACTCTGTCCCATAATTTACCAAGAATAAGCACGGAGGAGTTAAAAAAAAAAACAACTTACTGGACCATTTCAGCTACGTAGCCTTCCAGATAGCAGCTATTGAATTTCACCAGGTTCACCAAAACCAGAAGGAACTCAGAAGACAAACCAACGTCCATCCACTGTAGGACAAAGTCAGCTAAAGAAGGAAAATGAATTGTTACCATATGCCTTCTACCCACAAGTGTAATCACTACCTTTTTCTTGTATCACTGGATGCCTGTCCCTTGACTTATTCCCACCAAATTGAAGGGGGGAAGAGACAACACTCACCTAACTCCTCTTCTAAGTAGGTGATGTATCGTCCATTCTCCGTTAGAGCCTTGAACACTTCAAGCCGTTCGTGCAAGTCTTCATTGGAGGGATAGTCCTTAATAACCTTAAAAAAATGTGCTCTGAGGATCCCTAATCTCTCACCCTTAAAAAAAAAAAAAAAAAGAGGAGGGGAATAACAGTGTCACTAATGAAAAAAGACACATAAGGCCTGGACCCTATCAAGGTCTATAACATGCCTGAAATTCTTTTATTTTCCTACGGGTTATGAAAGTCTCCTGAAAACACTCCAGCCTCTACTGGCTACTGACGGGGCTCAGGTCTCCTCAATCTGTTAGATGAGCGCTCAGGGCTGGAGGCATTTCTGTCCAGCAACACACAGGCAGCAGCCAATACACAAGGTAATCCACGGAAACTCCAACTGCCAGCGCTGCCAGTACAGCACTTGAAAAACCCCCAAGCCCACCAGCCAGCACCGAGGCCTATCCCGCTCGTGAGCTACTCCTGCTTTTTCAGAAAATGGAAAACCAGCACTTTGGTCTGATCCAGCCTTAGGTCTGTACAGCACACTGTGCAGCCTGCAGAGCTCACCGTACGCTTCACTGGGCCAGGCTTGGCAGGCCGAAACACCAAACCAGCTGCAGGCTGGGCCTGACGGGTCTGAGCAAAGACCATCTAAAATCTGCTGTACTACGCTGAACTTAACCCAAGTATTTCCTCTTCTTCAAGAACGTTGCCCCAAAACACAAAAGTTTTCTACAAGTGGTATGGAAAGTTCTGCTACGATGTCAAACCAAGACTTAACTGAAACGCTTCCTCCTCCCATTTACTAGGCACAACCAAAACATGGAGAGCTCTGGAAAAAAGCCACCCAGTACTTTTCACGCTCGTACTCCTCCCGAACCCTAGTTCAAATACAGCGTTTCTTCTACAGTTTGTTTGTTGTCACCTGTCCTTGAACGATCGACTTCAGCAGATGAAGAACAGCGTGTCTGGCTTCAGCGGGGCGCTCTGGCTGGAGCATATCAGCCACCACCTTCCATATCGCTTCCACTGCATGCTGAAAGCAAACGCAGGAGACAGGCAGTAGTAGGAAAGTGAAGGTGCTTCTGGGATCTGTACCCAGTAGGTCGGTCGTTAATTATGGCAAGTTAACGAACAAGATCTCCAAGGAATTTGTGTCTGAAGTTCTCTCTGCTGAAGGGTGCTCTCGCCTGCCCGGTCACAAGCTCAGATGAACCACACGAGACACCAAATCCCGTCCTATGTGACAACCTGCACCCCAGGAACCGAAGTTCTTCACTCACACACTTACTTCAGTGCGAGCATTTGGGCAGAAACCTTCACCCAAACACCAGATGATTTAAAACTCACTGGAGGTGGGTTGTGAACCAGCGGAAGGAGCCAGCAAACACCTCTGCTACAGGATTAACGTGGTCTCCTGTGAACTGCCCTGAACAGGCCCGAATACTCGCAGCGCTCTCCTCCCGTTCAGCTCAGGAAGCCCGTCAGCTGTGTCCCCTCTGCTCCACCACTGGCAGGTTGGACACAACTCGTGTCCTGGGCAGCTGAGCCACCCTTTTACAGGTTTGGACAAGCGCAAAACAGCTTCTGGGACTATCAGTTCTAAAAGGCAGGCTGAACTACAGGAGCCTCTTACGAGAGGTTGAGAGCTGCTGCTTAAATTTTCCTCCTTCCAACCCTCACTGAACGCTTTGAAACTTACCTCTTCAATTTTTTTTGTTTTTGCCACTTCACAAACTTGACTGATGGCTCGTATCCTGTTACTTAATCCACATTCTACGCTCAGTTCCTGGAAAGAAATGCAGGAATAAGCTAACAGTTTATCTTACTAGAAACACTTACCCGTTTCTCAAAGGGGATCACGAAACACTGAAAAATAAATTACACATTTGTCCAAAGTGATCTAACCATTAGTCATCACTGGAGCTTTTCAGGAATTTCTCCAAAAACGTTTTTCCATTAGCAAATGATTTGTCAAAATTAGAACTTTCACAGAACTGGAGCCAAGCAGCTTTTCACCTCCAGGACAGAACATCTTATTTTCTTCAGAGAAGTTAATAACTCGCTGGCTGCGGTGCTTTTTCTTCAGAAAAGTTAATAACTCGCTGGCTGTGGCGCTCGCCACATTTCACAGGAGAAGGGCAGAGAACGGAGGGACGTTAAGTCCAGCTCCCCAGCCTTCCAGCAGGTAAGAGCTTGGTTGCTCCAGCACAGACGGGAAGGGATTCTGGTCTCCTCCTCCCTTTTATGTGTTTTCCTCCCAGTGTGCCAACTATGCTGCTTACAGACTTGCCATATCAATTACTGGAATCAATTTTTCTTTTTTTTTTAATTTTCACAAAACCATAAGGTTTTCATAGAACAAAACCGGTTTCCAGCTTGCGCTAACCGCCACCACAGAAACTTCATCAAGCTCAGACTACAAAAAAAGAGAAATATATTTTGAGGAAACACGCTGTAATTTGCCATAAGACAACACCATCTTATCAAATATCTCAAAAGTATTCAAACACCGAATAACTAAAATGCTGTAACTTCAAAGTAGGTGAGTTTTCCATCCATTTCACTAGAGAATGAATTGAGGGATAAGGTAAAAAGGCATGACCGGAGAGGGAACAGATGGCAAAACAGGGAGGAGAATGAGCAAGGCCTCCTGCCGATCCTCTCAGCTCAGGTAAGCCAGGCACCATCCCCACCTTTACCACGGTCAGTTCTCACACCTTGAGTATCTCCGCAGTGATGATAAACTCTGTTTGCTTGCCCTCCGACGACTTGGAACTTCCCCGGGATGTTCCCAGCCCCAGGAGATTCCTGAACTTCTCCTTCAGTCCCGAATCCTTGCTCTGAGGCTTTGCCATTGCGGCCGCGCCAGCAGCGCTGAGCCCCTGCAAATACAGAGCAGGGTTTCTGTTGGGGGAGACCCCAAGGGGAATCTTTAGGCAGAAAAACACCAGGAACAACTGTCACAACACGGCTTTTACAAACAGCTCTGGTGTCTCAACTCTCAAAAGGCCAACACTGAGACCAAGACAGCGAAGAGCCTGCCCTCACGAGGCGCCTGCAGCTACCTGCGGAACGTGGAGCTCTGGGATAGCGTTTTCTGGGAGCTCCGAATGCCCAGCACCGCCACAGCCCACACGGAGCAACCACCATTTTAAAACCACTGAGCTGATTTTTGAAGCATAAAACCACACACACACGCACGCTTTTGGGCAGGTGTGAGCTGAAGTACTTGTTCCCAGGCCAAAAGCAACGGACGAGCACGCAGCACTGTAAAGGAAACGTTGAAAGCAGCCAGACTTACGAGTCTGAGGGCTCAAACATCCAAATGCTGCCGCGGGAAGGAGAAAGGGGGAGCGAAAACAAGCACAGCCATTACAGCAACGGCACAGCGACAGCAACGTCCTGCAGAAACTGCCTCCCCAGCCAGCCCCAACATGCTGCCCCCTGGGGACCCCCATCCCGGGGCAGCACACCCGCTCCTTGCACGCTGGCGCAGCCCCGGCACCCTGCCCTCGGCACAGACCCGGCAGCCCCCCAGCTATGTCCCACACCCCCAGGCCACAGCCTTCCCCACCCCCCCGGCACACATCACAGCAACCCCTTGCGCTCCCCAGGGACAGCCCACAGACCCTGTCCCAGCATCCCAGGGGACACGCTGCTGCCCCCAGCCCAGGGGACACGCTATGGTCCCGGGGGATCCACCATAGCCCCCAGCCCGCCGCCCTGGGGTTCACACCACAGGCCCCAGCCCAACGTCACATGGCGACACACTGCAGCCCCCAGCCCACCATCACCGGGGACACAT